GCACTGAAATTTGGAGAGCCCTTTTAACCTGCATGCTAGGACGAAATGAGAACAGACTTCTCTGCTGGTTTTCTATCACAAATGAATGATCACTGGTTGGTGCTGAGATAATAAAGTCATCTAATTTGGGGCATTGATTAACATCTGAATTCAGGTGTTGGGATCCTTTTCTACCCAGGTCAGCTCACGAGGATTTGGTAAGATGAATTTCATAAGCCGCCGAGGGAAAGTGTTTGCCCAAGACCAGGGAAACTGCAGTGTACTGTTGCTTACCAGTGCTTTCCTTTTTGACTTCAATCTCTTAGTCAGTAGCAGAATAAACTTCTTAGACTTTAGATTGCGCTATTTAATCTGAGGCACTTAAAACAGAGTCAATGGGCCCTTTGCTACTGACTTGCTTCATACATCAGGGTGTCCAACACCTCTTTCATGGGAGAAGAGGAATGGGGGGGGGGGGGGGGGGGGAGTTTTCCTGCTTAAGTTCTTGTTCTTGAAGGAAGCCTCTGCAGACAATTCATATGATTACGTAATAATTCATATGAGCTTACAGCTAAGGATGGGACCCTACTATTCCCTCTACGTATTGTTCTCTTTCCAGAAGCGGCTTCCTTCAGGTATTTGAACAGTAAATATGTGTTCTGCCAGTGGGACTTGCTGCAGTATAAGCTACTATTCAGTGGGAATCAAGGTAGAAAAACAGTCTGTATTACCTAAAATCTGCACAGCAACACTGCCTTGGAGACAAAGGGTATTTTGTTAGTGCATATGAGAAATGGCATCGTTATTTGTGATGTTTTTAAACAAGGTGATTATCTATGGGTTTCCTGCTCCTTGGACTCAGGGTAACGTGGGGAAATGCTTTTTGCCTAAACATCTGTGGAGCCTTTCTTTTGTTTGGATCTATCCAAGTTACAGGTCTGGAGGCAGGCAGTGGTTTAGAAAGGAGGGTTAAGATTAGACTGTGTTAGAAAATGTCTTGCATATTTTAGATTGCTTTATTTTAATTGCCTTACATGCAAATGAGTTGTTTATGGAAGGATGGAAGTGTGTACCAAAGTCCCTGCAGAAGGCAGAATCCCAAACATTTTGTGCTTCTACTGGGATGTGACAAAATTAATTTTTCTTTGTGGAATGATTTAATGATGATTTTTAGTTAGAATTGTCTACTTCATCATGTTATCAAGCCTTGAATATGAAACCCTTTTACCAGGGTCTCTAATAGGGCTGTTACAGGTTGCAGACCAAAGAAGCTGAAGAGTGTCCTTACAGCTAGCTAGTCCAAGCCTTTGCTATTTTGTGGAGGAGCTGACAGACTCAGCAGAGGCCCAACAGGTCAAAAGGCACAACTTGCAGTAGCTTTTAGTTCCTGTAAGGAAAATATTCTTTAACTGTGGAGAATATCTGCTACTTTGCTTAGCTTTTGGCTCTGAATGTCTCTTATTAGTGCTTTGTTCACAGGTACCTCTAATGTTGTCTAACACTGCAGACCGTAGCAGAAAGTTTAGAGATAACATGCACTTTATTTGCAAGGGCCTGAAATCAGCAGCTTTCCCATCACCTGCTTGTCAAATCTTTTTATGGAAAGACAGACACTTTTTCCTAAAAGTTAAGGTGGCATATAAACAATGGCATCTTACCGTTTTAAAAACGGGAATTAAGTAGCCCTCTTACTGACAGGAGGGAATATGAAAATGCCAGTCTGAGCATTCCAATGAGGTCTGAGGCTGGCAGCAACTTCTAGCTTCTGAGTCACTTGGAGCAGTAGCCTTGAATCACTACTCCTGGCTGACAGATTGCTGTTCAGGAGGGGCCAACTCTGATCTTGATTTGGTGAAGGTCATGCTGCTGATTCCTGATATATAGGAGTGCAATTAGGACAAGAATCAGACCCAAGCAAATTCAAAGCCTCACAAGACATGCTTTACTTGGGTGAGATTCCAGTTCTTGGCTATCTTTTATCTCCTAACTTGTACAAGGTGTATTCCTACCCCCAGGCTTATGCAGTGGTGTTTCTGGACCACTACAGCTGTTAAAATGTGATGGTACAACAGAAAACCCAGGCAAGATCATCACAGGGTAGGGATAGCTTTTGTTCCTGCATGAAGGAATTCTCAGCTGAAACAGGGTATGAACATGCAGTGTATGTAGTTAGACTTTGGGAAAATGTTTGTATGTCTCCACAGATAGAAGCAGGACATCTGGAAGTCCCTGTGTAAACAATGTACAAGCTATTTTTATTCTGAAGAAAGCATTTTGCCTTGCATAGATATGTGCCAGCAAAGGCTGGTCAAGCAGCCTGTCAGAAGATGCTTCATCTCCCACCCAAACCCAGTTTCCATCCTGCCTCTATACAGGGTCTTAGTAAATGTCTTCATCACAGCTAAGTGACTGCAGTCTGAGAAAGCAGGTAGCAAAATGGGAAATGCTCTTCCATAAGTAAAGGTATGTCAGAATGAGCCTCTTGGTGCAAATGCCTTCTAAAACACACCAACTGTAACAAACAAATATATTGATAATGCCATAATATTTGCATTCACTGACCAACCATTATTCTTTCCCATAAGGTCTTTTTTTATAAAAACCTGGTGAAGGACATTTTTTTTAAAGCAACAGATCTAGTCATTTCCTATATTAGCTGTATCTAATTTTCTGTTGGGACTTTGGGTTTCCCTTTATTTTTGTGATGTATGTGCTAAAATGTAATGGATTCTCTTTCCATAATATTTTTGACAGGCTGACAATAGTGTGATACACACCATAATTTAAAGCAATGCAGGCTTTTATTGTGGGTTATTGGATTATCAGATTGTGTGACTTTTATTTATTTATTTTTTAAGTGTTATATGATTGAGTGCAGGAGGAATTGGCACACTAAATTTATGAATGACTGTTAATGAATAAACTTCTTACTGAAACTGAAATAGCAAAGCTATTCCTGGACCAGAAAGGCTGGTAGATTTTTTTTGGCCTGTTATAAACTGAACACACAACACAAAGTGGGAGTAAAAAGAAAAACATTGCTTAGTCAGTTCTGAACAGGAATTATTGCTTTGGGTTTTTTGGTTGTTTTCTTCTTTTTTTCTTTGTTTGGAAAATAATTGCAAAATAGAAAACAATTTGGTTTCAACTTCTCCCTACAACTGAATTCAAGCATTTTCAAATTTTCTTAATTTGAGGAAAATTATTCTTCCAGAAATAGCTTTTATATTCAATATAACATAATTGTATATAGCCCATGTATGTATAGGTATACAATTTGTAACAGTATAAATATCAAAATTAGAACCTGAAGTGACTGGTTTACCAAGATTTTGAATGCCCAGGATTTAAACTGATGTGCTGAGAATCTGCAAGTGCTCACATGTGTTGTGGTGCATAAGCGTGCATCATAGAACGGGATCAGCAAGATAAGTGTCAATCAATTTCCCTTGTTAAGGCAGTTCAGAGGAAAGCCAGACAGATGCTTTAGTACTAGGGCCATAGGAAACTCAAGCCTGGAAATGCCCCTTATTTTCATTATTTTCCTTTTGCCTTTTAGCTTATTTATGGACAACATTCCAGAGCATTTGTTTGTTTAATCTTGTTTCTTAATCTCTCTGCTTCAACATTCTTTAGAGAGTTTAATGCACATACGTATGCTTCCTAATAGTCCACCCCACTGTATTGTGCAGTGCTGCTGTACAGTTGTGGCTGACTAAAATGGGAAAGGATGGCTCTGAACTATTGGGTGTTGTGCATTGTTTTTCAGATACTGGTGACTTTAGCAATTTCTAGAACTTCTTTCTGGTTTACCTAACAGATAAACATCTAAATGCTTTGAATTCATGTCACAATCTTGCTATCTTTGATTTTTCTGCAGAATTATGAAAAAAGTAGGGGTATCTTAATTTTTATGCCTGAAAAGACTTTGGTGTTCAAAAGGAAAGAGACTGCTAGATAGAAAAGTCTGATCAGTATCAGCAGGTATGCTGCTATGTTTCATAAAACAGTAAGCATTGTAGCAGTGATGCTGGTGTAAATAATGTTTGCTCTTTTTCATTAAAATATGAGACTTTGATATAAATACAGAAATGCAGAAATAAGAGCCATGCCACTGAAATAAGTCAAAGACTGAGCAAGTTCAGGTCATGAAAGAAGGCTTTTTCCAATTGCATGTATCTGGCATCTAACACTTGCTACAACAGGCTCCATTATTCATGCAAAGACAGAAGAGCTTCTAACTTCCAATAGTGGGTGGTTTTGGTTTTTTTTTGTCCATTTAATAATAGCAGTTCAGGGAGAAATGGACCAGAAACATTCTTTAAGAATAAACCTGCTCTGCTTCTACCTTAGACTTAATGGGAAACTGAACATATGTAAAGCGGAATCAATGTACAGCTAGGTGATTGATTGATGGATATAATTGCAAAAAGCTTCCCACATCCCCTTTGGCTTTCATTTAGAGTCTGTAAGGAAAAGATGTTGAAAACAGCATGAAAGGAAAAAAGTTGGGAAGAAATAATTTCCTTGCTTAATGTGACTTTCAGCACAGCAAACTGAAGAGATAGGGTGAGCCCTCTTTGAAAAGGAGTCCCACGATTTCTCAAGTGAACATACCTAAGCCGTGAAAGAATCCCACGGAACTCACCTTAACCTGCAACCTGAGGATGGGCAGGGGGCGAGGTGGGAATATTTACCCGGGCAAATTCAAGTGCAGCATTCCCAGCCGCCACTAGCTGTCACTTTGCAACCAGCCGGGGTCGGTGTTTTCAGCACTGCGGTTAGAGAGATTGCGGTGCTAATTAAACAGAGTAACCCCCAAAGCCGCGGAAAGTCCCGACCCCGGAGCTGTGTGATAGACAGCCTCGGGGAGGCGAAAAGGACCCTCAAGATAGGCAGAAAGCCCTGTCCTAAGCCTGAGGCTCTACCTAGGGTCTGTGCCCCGAGCTCGGGGTGGACACGGCAGTCCAGCCCGGCAGCGCCCGGTGCGCTCACACTTCTCCCGTGAAGCCGAGCCTTACCTGAAGAAAACGATAGTCTCCCACACGTAGACTCCGAGCGCGTTGACGTTGCACATTTTTCCAGCTCTCGCTGTGGTTTGTTTTGTACTCCGTGAGGGGTGGGCCGGTGGGGTTGGCCAATAAAGTAACCCGGCACTTGGGAGAATTGGTAGGGGAAGCGAGCCACCCCTCCCGAGGCAGGCTGGGCAGGGGAAGGCCAAGGGCTCTGCTCAGCACCTTGGGCAGTATCAGGGGAGGGCAGCTGAGATCAGGACCCTGGACAGCGTCTGCCGGGCGGCTTCGGTCAGGACCCTGGACAGCGGCGGTACGCCGCGCTCCGAGCCCGGCTGCTCGGCTCCAGCGCTGCCTCGGCTCGTCCCGCAGCTCCGGCGGTGCCCCCGCCACCGCCACTGCAGTGGTGCTCGGGGCCGGAGGACCAAGCTTCCCGCACTGAATTCTCCCTTCAGCGGGATCTGGCTCCGGACATCAGGCTGGCGAGAGGGAGTGATGCAGGGGGTGTAGGTTTGCCATCAGGGTGGCGGGGGGTAAAATGGGAAGGGGTGGGTGGACGACAACCCTTAACAACCCAAGGCTTTAATCTCCGCTGCTAGCCGGGGTGTCTTCCTAATTACATCCACAGGAATTTTTCAGTGTGGAGCCGTGCTGCAGTCCCGGTTGTGGCGCTTTCCTGCCCGCCGTTTGGCTTCTGTTGATTCCTGCTTCCTGGGCTATTTTCCTCCCGGATAAGTTATTGCTGCTGTAGGGTAGGTGTCCCATTGCTCAGGGCTAGAGCGGAGGGGAGCGAAGGGGAAGTTTCTTGGGAAGCACTCCCATTGTGCTCAGAAAGAAAGTGGCTCAGTGTCCTCCTAATGCATCTCATTTCCCCTCTGCCCTCTCTCCCTTGCCAGGACTCGCCAGATCTTGGGAGTTTCTTGCTGCATTAATTTACTAAACTAAAAAAAAAAAAAAAATTGGGGGGGGGAAGGAGGAGGAGGTGGAGAAGGGGGAAGGCAGAGGGGAGGGGGGAGCTCGATCTCTCCACCATCCCGAGGCCCTCCTCTTAGCTGTGCTCATTGGTCTCAGGGCTGAAAAAACTACTCTAGGACGCGGTTGGATAAACGCATGCTGTTCGGCAGCAGCTGTTAACCTTTAAAGCGCTGACACGTTTTGGTTTATTTCATTTTTTTTCCTACACGATTTGCTGTCTTTTTAAGAAGTCTCTGAAATTGTCTCCCTTGACAGGGCAAGCGTAGCCTGCCTTAAGTCTCCATCTCGTGGAAGATCTGCTTGGTTGGCAGTTGCTATTTGTTGCTGTTGGCTTTTAAGGAACATCTCTGGGTTGTTGGCTTTTTTTGTTTGTTTTGTGTTTGTGTGGTGATTTTTTGTTTTTGTTTTTTTTTTCTTTTCTTTGTTTTATTTGATTATTTTTGTTCCCTTTTGCATTTGGTTTTGCACAGAAGTTTGGCAAATACCAGAGCCATCAAGGTCAGGGAAGGTAAGGAACGTTTAGCAGTTTCTTATCTCAGCTCCAGCTGTGCTCGCAGGGTGCTGAGTGTGGTGGTCCGCGGGAAGGAGGGGAGGAATGGGCTCTTTAGTCACTTCATCAGCGTATTACTCTGCTCGGCTTCTCCTCAACTTCTGAGAACTGAAATTAAAACTCCTAAACAATCTAGGATTTCTTTCTTCTTGTTCTGGTGTAATGGGGTTTTTGCGTTTAAGTTCCGTTCTGTTTACTTGTCCTGTGCTTTGCAAAACTCCCCATGGCAAAGAAATATTTGCTTTTAACACCTTTTTAGCTGTTTTTAATCTGTTCAAACACTTGTCCCACCCCATGTTGTTGGGTGGGTGGAGGTGAAATGGACTGCTTGCTCCACTAATACCATAGTCCCCCCCCCGGAAATAACTAAGTTTTTCTTCTCACTTTGGGTTGCATCTCAGAGGACCTTCCTGCCATACTAAAATTCACCTCATGTTTTTCATTGCCTGTTTTTATTTGTTTTAAAGCAGGATATTTACGTAGCTAAGATGACAGAAATATCCTTTGGGTTATCATTCAATAAAAAAGAAAAGGAAGACAGACCTGCTTGGCTTCTAGCCATTGATACAGAAGGAGTTTAATCTGATTTACTCCAGCTACTGTGTCTCAGTGTCTAGCCAGATTAATAACAGGCTCTGATTTCAATTCGTGGAGATTCCTGGGGATGTGATTTCACACAGTGTTTCCTGCCTGTTCCTTGCTGGCTCCTCACTGTACTTTCTCTCCTGATAGTTATCCCCACATGGATGATGAGCCTGTCACTGTACTTCTCCAACCCCCAGTGTGCTGACAGAGCAGAGAAGGAGCTCCACACTGGGAGCGTTAACAGGACGGGCACAGCAGGAGAGAAATTATGTTTCCCTGTTATTTTACTGGGGAGTAGGACAAAGAGTAGGAGGCAAAATCATCTCTTGGCATCTGCAGGTGAAAGCTGGAGGCTAGTCAGCCTTCTGGTTTCTTTAGAAATGGGCTGTGTAAGATAATGACTGTCTCGTGTGATTTCTCTACTGGCTATAAGTTTAATCTACTTTATACCAAAGGAATCTGGACTTGTTTCATTTTGTCACAATTTATGTTCTCATAACTTCCTTGGATTAGAAGAGCAGGGTGTCTGCCCATTAGTTCGAGGAAGCAGATATTTGCCCCTAGAAAATATCACTTATATCTCTTCCTGGAGCTAAGGAAGTTGTTGTTGCTTGCCTTGGTACGGTGCCCTGTATGTGTTACTTGCATGTGTCGGACCTTGGTTGGGGTGAATCCAGATTCTTGGAGTTCCCATCCTCTGATTTAACCCAGGTGACTCAAGAAACATCCAACCAGTCCCACTGAAACCTATCTAGGGATATCTGTGGTGAAGTTACCAGTTTTGGTTCTGTATGTTACCTGATTTTTAGCTTTATTTTCCTCTCTACGAAGCTAAAGGCAAATAACCCAGAAATCAGGTCTGGAGATCTAATGATGCCTGGAAGTCAGTTCTATTGCTGTTATTACAATGTAACTCTTGACATCAGGTATTGGTAGCAGGTCTCCTCTGTCTGGTTCTGTCATGGCTTGTTCATATATTGGGTTTTACTCTCTGCTTGTTTTTTAAGCTTTGGTTATTTATTTATTTATTGTGGAGAGGTGGGGTGGGTTCAATTGCAGGTCTCTTATTTTTCAAGCTGAGTACAAATTGTTTTGAAAGGTGATTTATCTTTCTCTGGTGCATTTGTACAAATGACGGTGTTGAAGATAACTTATTATGTCAGATGAGGCTCTTAAAATTAGAATTACCTGCTGTGTATAAACCTTGTTGCTTCATTAGTTTGCTTCAAACTGGATGAGTCTTGTAAAACTCACTGTAGATGAAGTGGTCTTGGAAGCTTCTGTGTCATCTATGAACATGCCCCTTATGCTGAGAATTAACCTAAAGCCTCATTTACAGCTGCAAGTCGATTTCATTCTTGTTCTGTTTTTCGTCTCCATATTTTATAGCAAGTAAAGTGACTTTTAGTTTCTTTTGTTGCCTCTTTAAAATTAAAATTCTGATAATAAATTCATACATGGGGGTAGGCTTTTTCAAGCTGGCCACACACACACACTGCCGTCCTTCCCCAGATAAACTACAGGATTTTCAGTGAAGAAGTGGCTAGCATAGCAGGAAAGTGCACTCAGTTTATTTTAGGAATACTAAATCCATTATTGTCAGTCCATTTTTTGGAGAACGGCTAATGAGGAAACAGTGCCTCAAGAATGTGGATTGTGCTTCCCAGGACAGAGGTTTAAATTGCTCCAGTAGCGCTACTTGTTTTTTGACACTGGACAAATGAAAACCAAATTTTAATTTAAAGTTAAGTTCAGGGAATTTTTAAGAAAGATTCTATAAAGCAAATTCCTATTTAGATAATTTCCATATGTAGCAAGCAATTTTTGCACAAGATTGTTCAACTGAATGCAATTTTCTTAGAGACTTGATAACCTGGGATACTCTTATTTAATAACTGCTGGTAAAATAACACCATAAAATATTCCTGCAATGTTTTGTAAACTGAAGTGTTTAGTGAAGACTTTTTTTTTTACTGGAAATATATAGAGATGAAAGAGAAATCACTGGAACTAATGTGAAGGTTCATTGTATCCATATTTCCATATATACGTTTAAAATTGTACTCTGAAAATTTTAAATTCTGTTTTGATATACAGTGGATCCATGGAAAACAAGCACTGGAGCTTTTTCATAGGAAATGCAGCGGAACTTGGAGACTAAGGTTAGAAGGCTGCTAGGAAAGGAGCTGAGGGATTTGTGGTGTAGGTGATGGATATTTTTGGCTGAAATTCAGACCAATATCACTGTAGACAGTCCTTAGCCCCAGTTGTTTAAATAATGCTAGGTCTAACCATAGAAATGGAGTTCGTCTTAGAAAAAGGACCAAAGCTAAACTTGGCCAATATGCTGGAACTTCTTGGTTATGAAGTGCTCCATCATGCATGGTATATCCTTATAAGATTATCTCCAGGTTTCATAAGGACCCTTTCTGAAGAGCTGCACCCAGGATGAGAAATGCTGAGGTGCAAAACTCTGAGGTATACTTTGAGCCAGGGAGGGTTTCTTCAGCCATGCACACCCACATCTATCCACCCAAGGTGTTGTTGCTATATACAATATTTGTGTTCTCAGAAATGTGTGAAATAGTCGAGTGGAAGTGTCCTGTACAGGACTGCTGAGGTTTCCACAACCTACTCTTTCTGTACAGGTACTCGTTTGAAGTGCCTATGTGGTGCCTAGAAATTTGCTGCCCTGTTTCTAATAGTGCACATAAGCTTTTCCTTCATGTAAGGGCATATATACACTGTAAGCTGAATGTGTTAAACGTGAAGATTCCTGCCCTATGTCTTTTTCTGCAAAAAGAACAGTTACTTAGATTGTCATTGGCTTTCATGCTCCTGGACAATATATTTCTTGACAAGTACACTAGGGGATGCATTGATTTCTTGTTGATGGAAATACAGTACCCATGAGTCTAGTGGTACCCAACCTATGATCGTAGACTCTTTGGGAGTGGTGTGAAGCCCTGTGCTAGGATGACTTCATGACAGACTGTGACTATATGTATGCAGAAGGCCAAGTGAAGTACTTGCTGAGTGCAGCATTAGGGTCTTCCTGAACCCTGAATGTTTGTTTGCCTCTCATGTCAGGTGCATTAATCGGGTTAAGGCAGTAATCCTTGAAGAGGAAATAAAGAAGAGCAAATGGTCATTTTCCCCATAGCAT